ATCATAAAAGCCAAAAAAACTACTTTTGCAACCGATCCATTTATAGCTTATCAACATACTTCACAAAACAATCATCCCCAATAACAAACACTTACAGCTAAAGGTCGATCCAATTCAACTTTTTTTCCGAGCCTTAATTTCTTCTTCACGACTAACTGACAGAGGCGGATTACAGTAATATCTGTTAAGTGCTTGGGTGGTTTTTCTCTCTTATTTTTTCATGCTTCTTTTCCATCACCATTCACATTTGGGCGTCTCTCAAATCAAGCTTTTTAATAGATTTTCGATGAATTTGCAGAAAAAAGTCTCGCTCGGGATAAAAAGAAGACAAATTCCATTGGCATATTTATGTTTTGAACAGAAAAGGTTTCATAACATGACGATAACAAAAGAAACTTTGTTACTACATTATTTAAATATTATTTTAGGTCATAGCCCACAGAATGAATGGATTAAAATGGTTACATAAAATAAGCTTAAAGATCATGTAAATGTTGATATAAAAATGTTAACAGAATGGAAATTTGCATAGGAATTACATCGAGAGTATGTCTACATTTATTATAGAGTGCTGAAAATGTTTCAATGGGTTGATGGGAGCTTTTTTTCGGATGCTACAGAAATCTTTGTTCGGAAAAAATTGAAATCTGTCAGATGGGATGGATTATTTGCATTATTTTACTATTTTTAAGGTTTATTTGGATATTGAGTTGATAGAACAGATGGTTAATGAAGGTAAAAAGATCCAGAAGTGATGCAAAAGATTAAAAAATGATACAAAAGATCCAGAAGTGATGCAAAAGATTAAAAATAATGTAAAAGATCTCAAAGTGATGCAAAGGATCCAAAAATGATACAAGATATCCAAAAATGATGCAAAAGATCCAAAAGTGATGCAAACTATTCAAAAATGATGCAATAGATCCAGAAGTGATGCAAAAGATTGAAAAATTATACAAAGGATCCAGAAGTAATGCAAAAGATTAAAAAATGATGTAAAAAATTCCAAAGTGATGCAAAGGATCCAAAAATGATACAAGACATCCAAAAGTGACGCAAAAGATCCAAAAACGATGCAAACTATTCAAAAGTGACGCAAAAGATTCAAAAGTGATGCAAAAGATTCAAAAGTGATGCAAAAGATCCAAAAGTAATGTAAAAGATCCCTAAGTGATGCAAAGAATCCAAAAATGATTCGAAAAACCTAAAAGTGATTCAGACGATCAGAAGTGATCCAAAAAATCCAAAAGCGATGCAAGGAACCAAAAATGATGCGAGTGTCTCAAACATACCTAATCAATATTCTCAAAGCAAATCCTTCTAATGATGTGAAAAATCTCAGTATTTAATGACGCAATAACAACAAAACATAAAGATCAAATCGAACGGAATCAAATCGAATAAATAAATCAGCAAAAAAGCTGCTCAACTTCATTTTCTAATCCTTCAATATTATTCATGATGTAATAAAAAATTTATATTTATTTTTTTTTTCTTCTCTTATTCTTTGTGCTCTTTAGCTTCTCCAATTGCGATGCTGCTGCTTCATTGTGTGGTTTATATATTTATTTATTGTGAAGTTCACTAAAGGCAGACATTCACAATGAAAAAAAAATAAGCAAAAACAATTTTTGTTCCTTATGTTGTAGATCGAAAATAACAAGGAACATTTCATTATTCAGAAGAAAGAAATATTCGCGCAATTTTGTTTAATAAATTACAGCACAAAATACATGGAACATGGAAAGGCCTCATAATAATTTATCAATATATAAAAAGAAAACTTATTTTTTTATTGTTGTGTGGAAATATAATTGGCATTTTCTTCTTTCCTTCTCGCATTTTATCAGCAATTGTTAACAATATTTTCTTTAAGAATCGAGTTTTATTGTTGGATGCTGCCTACACATAATGTTATTCGTACAGGGTGTCGGGGACTTGGGCTTTTTCATTCTTTTGTAATTGCTGACGTTTATGGATTTGTGAATTGTTTAATAAATTTGAGTGTGGGCTTTGAATTCACAACAATGGAAAAAATTATTCATGTTAAAAATAACTTGATTGATTGTGTTTAATTCTTGGTAAAGTTGCATTGATACTTAGTATTCAAAGCAATTGAGTAGCATTTAATGTTTTAAAGACGATTTTTATCAGAAACTTTTAAGGCAAAAAAATCAAAAATATTCAACTTTAAACCACAAAGAAGAAATATGTCATTAAAAAATTTAAAAAGCTGTGAATTTACAAGTATTTTGAAAGATTTAACAGGAATTGTTTTCAGCAAAACAAAGAATTCAACATTTTTAGTCTAAATTCAGTTAATTTGAGAACAGCGAGCACAACGGAGCAACTTTTAGCGAAACTGACCAAAAAGAGATGCGAAACTGAGAACCAAGAGATGCGAAACTGAGAACCAAGAGATGCAAAACTAAGAACCAAGAGATGCGAAACTGAGTGCAAATAGATGGGAAACCGAGCACAAAGAAATGTGAAACTGAGCACAAAAATATGTGAAACTGAGCACAAAGAGATGCGAAACTGAGAACCAAGAGATGCGAAACTGAGAACCAAGAGATGCGAAACTGAGAACCAAGAGATGCGAAACTGAGAGCCAAGAGATGCGAAACTGAGAACCAAGAGATGCGAAACTGAGAACCAAGAGATGCAAAACTAAGAACCAAGAGATGCGAAACTGAGAACCAAGAGATGCGAAACTGAGAACCAAGAGATGCGAAACTGAGAACCAAGAGATGCGAAACTGAGAGCCAAGAGATGCGAAACTGAGAACCAAGAGATGCGAAACTGAGAACCAAGAGATGCAAAACTAAGAACCAAGAGATGCGAAACTGAGAACCAAGAGATGCGAAACTGAGAACCAAGAGATGCAAAACTAAGAACCAAGAGATGCGAAACTGAGTGCAAATAGATGGGAAACTGAGCACAAAGAAATGTGAAACTGAGCACAAAAAGTTGCAAAACTGAGCACAAAAATATGTGAAACTGAGCACAAAGAGATGCGAAACTGAGAACCAAGAGATGCGAAACTGAGAACCAAGAGATGCGAAACTGAGAACCAAGAGATGCAAAACTAAGAACCAAGAGATGCGAAACTGAGTGCAAATAGATGGGAAACTGAGCACAAAGAAATGTGAAACTGAACACAAAAAGTTGCAAAACTGAGCACAAAAATATGTGAAACTGAGCACAAAAAGATGCAAAACTGAGCACAAAGAGATGCAAAACTGAGCACAAAGAGATGCGAAACTGAGAACCGAGAGATGCGAAACTGAGCACAAAGAGATGTGAAACTAGGCACAAAGAGATGCGAAACTGGCCAAAAAGAGATGCGAAACTGAGAACCAAGAGATGCGAAACTGAGAACCAAGAGATGCGAAACTGAGAACCAAGGGATGCAAAACTGAGAACCAAGAGATGCGAAACTGAGAACCAAGATGCGAAACTCAATGCAAATAGATGTGAAACTGAGCACAAAGAAATGTGAAAATGAGCACAAAAAGATGCAAAACTGAGCACAAAAATATGTGAAACTGAGAACCAAGAGATGTGAAACTAGGCACAAAGAGATGCTAATCTGAGCATAAAGAGATGCGAAACTAAGAATTATAAGATGCGAAACTGAGAAAAATTTAAAATTTTGTAAAATCGAGTAAAACTGAGCAAAATAAATTAAAAGCGCTACAGTCACAATAACCCCAACATCCAATCGATTTTGTTCCCACGCATTCCCCACTAATGTGCCTCTATTTGATACATTTCCTTTCTCATTATGTACATACATTGTGTACGATATTGTATGTGAAGCTGATTCCCATAAATTGGGTAATTTGGTGAAAATTTATTGCATAGGCAAACCAATAACATTAATTTTACGATATCGCCTCACTTTTAATTATTTTTCATCTCTTTATATATTATTAAACAAACAAGCCTCATTCATTCATGTATGTAGCACAATCATTCGTAAAAATTTATTTCCACTATAAAATAATGAAAATGAAAACGGAAAGATTCATAATTTTAATATTCAGATCTTCTACTCGGTTCTTGCCTCGCATCTGACGGGATGCGGGAGGGTATAATGAAATGCATTAATATTATTAAACCACATACTTAATATTTCATTTCCATAATAACTGACATATATGTGAGCATTTTAATGAAAACCCCAGAAAAAATGGCTACAGAATAGCTTGTAATTTCATAAATTGCTGTTTTATGGACTGAAACTTGAGAAAATGGCTGAAAAAAAATTTGAAGCTAGTTAATTAAAAGTTTTAATTGTAGTGTTTTTGAAAAACAATAAAATTTTATGCTAATTAGGCTCATTTAAAGATTCTTATTTCCATTTAGAGAATTGAGAAGAAAGTCGTAATTTTTTGCCGTTGCTTGATCTGATATTTGGCTCAGACTTTTGGAAATCTGAGTTACTGGTCATTTGAAATTGAACTTATCAAAAACTTTTATACTAAAGCATAAGAGCAAGGCACACTCTAGCCATATATTCGTATATATCTGAGTAGTTTAGTGCAGTTTCTTGGTACATTAGGGTTATTTCATTGCAATGCTTAGATTATATGGCTTGGTTACACTCAAGAGTATACCTGAAGTCTGTTCTCAAAGATATGCATAAGAAGTTGATCCCAGAAGATGATCAAGTGGCTAATCTAATAACAACTCGACAAACTTGACATCAAATTACCATCTGACAAAAGTAAACAATCAGATAAAAACTATTTTCATTAGATCTACTGCAAGAGTTATTAAATAAATAGCGAAAAAACCTCAAAACAACCATGAAGCAATTAAAAACAACTATGCTTGATTCATTAATGATACACTCCTCCTCTCCAGACACGCTAATAGGCTTTCCTTCCATAGAAAATCTGAATATTTCTCCCAAACAATGATGTCATTCAAACAACATCCAGGGAAACAACTCCAATTAATAAGATTGCTCACATAAATGTACATGTACTTACTTATATCACTATTGTCAGTCAAAAGCTCTTCTCCTCGATACCATGACGTGATTTCAACAAACTCTCTCATATGACTCGATACGATGCACTTGAGGAAGGCAATATTGTTGAGATACACTTCATGTCCATCGACTTTAACATCATAAGACTGATGAATGATAGCACGAACATGAATGTTTCGACTAATTATTGTTCCGGCATGATTGGATGCTTGACATCTATACACTTGTTCATGAACGTCTGATCGAAAGAATTGCGATGAGAATGATGGAAAATGTAGAGTTCCATTGCCTTGGATTTGCCTGTAAATGTTAATGAAAAAAAAAAATGTAAATTGGATTATTCAGAAATTGAAAATTGCAAATGGAAATGAAATTATTTGTAGGATACTCATGAGATGTTGATCTTAATGGATGTGCGTGTGTTTTATATATGTTAGATGCAAGAAACTTTCTCTTTTATTTCCAAATCTATTTTTTTTCCTTTTTTCTCATCCCCACAAAATTACTTTTTCTCATTTAACATGCCAAAAACTATTCTCAGCAATCTTGAGAGAAAGTTTTGCATGAAAAAAGAAACTTTTGACATGATTCAATTTTCAGTTTTACTTTTACTTTTCACATGTTTTCTTTATTTTGAGATAAGAAATTCTTCTTCTTGTGGATGATGAGATTTTAACTTGGGAATTAATCAAATATATTTCTAAGAATGTGGGTGGTTGTGAGATAATTGAAAAAAGTTTTAAAAGTTTAAAATTATTAGTAATGATGGGAAGTCTGAATGTGATTTTCATAACGAAAACTTAACTTTTAACCAGTGTTGCAAACGTAGATGTCTACACTAGATGAAGAATGTAGATTCTTCAATAGTTTTCATCTAGCTAAGAAACTTTCTTCATAAAGATCGATTCTACATGAAGATAGAAAATCTAATCTACACAAAGATTATTTCTACATAAAGATTCTGTCTACATAAAGATTCGATGTAAATGTCTACAATTCTACAGTTTTTCTAGATCAACATCAGAGAAGAATGTAGAATTGTAGACATCTACATCGAATCTTTATGTAGACAGAATCTTTATGTAGAAATAATCTTTGTGTTGATTAGATTTTCTATCTTCACATAGAATCGATCTTTATGAAGAAATTTCTGTCTCAGAATTTATCTGATCCAGACAAATCGCCAGAATGCAACACTGCTTTTAACAGGAGTTTGATTTGAAAATTCTTTATAGGGCAAGCAACTGTTTTATGTGACAAGCAACTGTTTCATGTGTCAAACAACTGCATTATATGGCGAGCAACTGTTTCGTAAAGCATGCAACTGTTTTCTATGGCGAGCAACTGTTTCATATGGCACGCAACTGTTTTATTCGGCTAGCAACTGTTTCGTTTGGCTTGCAACTGTTTCTAAAGCAAACAACCTTTTATATGGAAATTAACTGTTTCATGTGTCAAGCAACTGCATTATATGGCTAGTAACTGTTTCATATTGCATGCAACTGTTTTATGTGGCAAACAACTGTTTCATATGGCACGCAACTGTTTTATATGGCTGGCAACTGTTTCGTACGCATGCAACTGTTGCTTTAAGAAAAATATATAACGCGCAACTGTTGCGCATGCAATTAGTTTAAAACTGGTTTAAAACTTCAATACACAGCTATAAAATTTCATAATTTTGTACAATTATCTTCCTTCAAACTCGTTTTGCACCAAACTTAACATCAAGCTTCCATATATCAAGTTTCAAGGTTTTATTTTCCTCGTTTGACTAACTTTTTATTACAATCTTACAAAAGAGTAAACAAATTTCCCAAAAAAAAACTTTTGCTACATGCAAAAATCCATTAAATTCTCTAAGGCTTACATGAGTTTGATGATCCAAAAAAGGTCACCAAGATGGACACAAAAACATGTAAATCCACATACAACATCAAATTGCTTAATTAAAATCGAAATAACATAATTGCCATAAAACATATTCATAAAAGTAAATTTAGTATGAATCTCCTGTACCCCAAGAGCATTGAATGGAAGAAATTTTTGTTCAACAGCCAATAATATTAAGTAGAAAGGCTTTTCTGTAATAGGTTCCATAATTTTCCTTTTTGCTTTCAGTATGCATATTATCATTATAAAATATGTCATAAATCCTCATATTATGTACCCATGAGAAATAAAAAGTCTTCAATCCTTCATGTCACATCAAATCACATAAAAGCATCCACTCAATTCAGTGAATGTCATCATTTAGACGAATAAAAAAAAAGGTCCTCACGTTTTCTTTCCTTCTATTATGAGCGTGTCCTTAACGAAAGTGATGGTTATCATCTTGAAAATGTCCTCGTGTCTTCAAGTGACTTCAGTTTATTTTTGGAATATTTATTTTGAGTTGGAATTTGTTCGTGCAAAATTGTTGTAGTGTGTTTATCATGTCACCGATAAAGTGGTTCGGCATTCTATAGACTTAAAGCTTCAAAGAAAAGTTACTAATTGAAGCTCGTGGTCGTCTATGAGACATGCAAGCATTTAGAAGAATACAATACTATTCTAAATGAAACAATAACATGCAAAACCTATAGAGGTTAGCTAGAGGTAAACATCTTGTAGTTTTCGAACAGAGTTGAATCTGGGGTATCAAGCTTTATGTAGTCGAATCTACCAGTGGAAGTGAAAAGCTCTGTAGCCGAGTGGTTAGGCAGCAGACTGGGTATCTGTTACCCTCTTTTAGGAGGACGTGGGTTTGATTCTCACCAGAGACCAATCTCTCTCAATTCAATATATGAGTGTTATCGGTTATGGTTGATATCTTGATAAGTGTAGTACATAGATTTTTGACCCTAGGCTAAGGTACAACAGATAGCATTAGAAACTGATTTAAACTTAACGGCGATGACGATTACAACTTAATACTTCTGATCCAGTATTAAGTTCAAAACCTCATTTATAAAACCCATAAGTATCACTAGAATAAAGAGTTCTTAAAAGGATAGCTAGGACAAGTGAATATATAAATAAAATCTCCTGCCTCAACAAAAAAAGTTCTTTGACTATAAAGGTTCAAAAATTCAAACGCCTTTTATATTTAAATAAAATCAAATTCTCTATAAGGGGCGTTCACTTATGACGTCCGAATGGGAGGGGCTAGCAAGTAAAGAAAAATAAAATTTTTTTGAAAAATGACCGTTAATTTCGGACTTCATAAGTGAACGACCCCTAAGCAAAACAGCGCTCCTATCAACCACAATCATTTGACAATCACTCATGTAAAACCTTTTTTATAAGATTTTTAAGAAATAAATGAAAAGGCAAGGAATGAAAAGCGCCAGAATAAAAAGGATGTCTACATATTATAAAATGTTTAATAAAAAAAATATTTTTTATGGATACTGACTTTTGATACATCACAATACAGAAAAATCCATTAAATTCTCTAAGGCTTACATGAGTTTGATGATCCAAAAAAGGTCACCAAGATGGACACAAAAACATGTAAATCCACATACAACATCAAATTGCTTAATTAAAATCGAAATAACATAATTGCCATAAAACATATTCATAAAAGTAAATTTAGTATGAATCTCCTGTACCCCAAGAGCATTGAATGGAAGAAATTTTTGTTCAACAGCCAATAATATTAAGTAGAAAGGCTTTTCTGTAATAGGTTCCATAATTTTCCTTTTTGCTTTCAGTATGCATATTATCATTATAAAATATGTCATAAATCCTCATATTATGTACCCATGAGAAATAAAAAGTCTTCAATCCTTCATGTCACATCAAATCACATAAAAGCATCCACTCAATTCAGTGAATGTCATCATTTAGACGAATAAAAAAAAAGGTCCTCACGTTTTCTTTCCTTCTATTATGAGCGTGTCCTTAACGAAAGTGATGGTTATCATCTTGAAAATGTCCTCGTGTCTTCAAGTGACTTCAGTTTATTTTTGGAATATTTATTTTGAGTTGGAATTTGTTCGTGCAAAATTGTTGTAGTGTGTTTATCATGTCACCGATAAAGTGGTTCGGCATTCTATAGACTTAAAGCTTCAAAGAAAAGTTACTAATTGAAGCTCGTGGTCGTCTATGAGACATGCAAGCATTTAGAAGAATACAATACTATTCTAAATGAAACAATAACATGCAAAACCTATAGAGGTTAGCTAGAGGTAAACATCTTGTAGTTTTCGAACAGAGTTGAATCTGGGGTATCAAGCTTTATGTAGTCGAATCTACCAGTGGAAGTGAAAAGCTCTGTAGCCGAGTGGTTAGGCAGCAGACTGGGTATCTGTTACCCTCTTTTAGGAGGACGTGGGTTTGATTCTCACCAGAGACCAATCTCTCTCAATTCAATATATGAGTGTTATCGGTTATGGTTGATATCTTGATAAGTGTAGTACATAGATTTTTGACCCTAGGCTAAGGTACAACAGATAGCATTAGAAACTGATTTAAACTTAACGGCGATGACGATTACAACTTAATACTTCTGATCCAGTATTAAGTTCAAAACCTCATTTATAAAACCCATAAGTATCACTAGAATAAAGAGTTCTTAAAAGGATAGCTAGGACAAGTGAATATATAAATAAAATCTCCTGCCTCAACAAAAAAAGTTCTTTGACTATAAAGGTTCAAAAATTCAAACGCCTTTTATATTTAAATAAAATCAAATTCTCTATAAGGGGCGTTCACTTATGACGTCCGAATGGGAGGGGCTAGCAAGTAAAGAAAAATAAAATTTTTTTGAAAAATGACCGTTAATTTCGGACTTCATAAGTGAACGACCCCTAAGCAAAACAGCGCTCCTATCAACCACAATCATTTGACAATCACTCATGTAAAACCTTTTTTATAAGATTTTTAAGAAATAAATGAAAAGGCAAGGAATGAAAAGCGCCAGAATAAAAAGGATGTCTACATATTATAAAATGTTTAATAAAAAAAATATTTTTTATGGATACTGACTTTTGATACATCACAATACAGAAGGAGATATGGATGAAGATAAAGAATATGTTGTAAGCCTAACATAAGAATAAGAAGAAGAGGAAGAATTTATGAATGGTGAGGCATAAGAAGCGATGTTGTTACATCCCCATCGTTATGATATATTCATATGAGTATCATGCTTAGAGGCTTGAGCATTGAGCCATTAAAAAATTCAAAAATATACAACAGATATAAAACGACAATCTTTTATCAAAAAAACATTCATGTTGAGGCGGTTTAAGCATTTATTATGCAAAAGAGAAGGAAATAAAAATTATTGAGGAAGAAACACGATGTCACTCATGCCAGCATGACTTTGGAATATTGAATTTCCATATCATACATTATTAAAATAAAGAAAGCCGGATGAGGGCATGAGAGTATTTTGTGGTGTTAAAAAATACATGTATCCTCTAAACGATACAACGATGGAGGTTTGGCTGTCACAACTTTTTCTTTATTTTGTTACATTTTATTTTATTGCTTTAAAGGGAATTCACATTTTAATGAACTGACATTTTTTTGAAGCACGTTTAATGATTTTTACTACTGCATACTCGATGAGGATTGAATACTAAAGTGTTTGAACTTTCTCTTACGATTTGAGTGATTTTTGTGGGCTTTTGTGAGTTTAAAGGGATAATGATTATTAGTCGGCATAATATACCGGACAACACATCCTACTTTTATCGCAAAAATGCATTTCCCTCAACTAGATGCTTAATACTTGATGAAACATAACAAAACAATACAAAAATCCCTCTTGACTAGCCCTAAAACAATCTTAATGCCACATCCTCAACAAATAAATTTGCACATTAATTCCAGACGTCATGTCGAGCATTAAACAGCAAAACTTATCAAGAAAATGACTTGCTTTTGTTTAGAAACTCTTTAAGTTTATCTTGAATTGTAAAAACTATTTTTAATACATCATAAACATCCTGCTTCTTGTACATTCACATCTCCTCCATCATCATGATTGCATTCTTCCCACATTTTCATTCCCCTCACCCGTCATATGAACATTCAGTACAAGCGGAAATGGAATATTATGCAAAATTTTTTTATGGCTGAGCGAATTATGACGAGATGGAGATGAAGTTGACTACAAGACGAGGATGATTTTAAATAAATTGAAAAAAGAATCTCGTTTCAAGTTGATGTTCACTTAACGCAAATACTTGTCAACGACAACGATGCATGAAGTTTTTATGAATTTATGTTTGCTGGGTCTTCATGCTGTTGCTAGGGATTTTAAAAGTGTAGAAATTTTACATCCACTTCCGTTGCGCTGTATTTAATACATTTTATAGATAAACTCTGGGATTTGATGTGGAATCTGAGCTTAATTCTTTTCCTTTAGGGATTTGATGCAAGACAGAAGCCCAGGATTAAAATGAAGGTTCGTTCGTCAATGAGGTTTGGGATAGATGGAAAGTTGTGACACTTTCTGATGTGAGGTCAAGGGCATAAAGATTTGGGGTTGACTTTGACAATTGAAGTCCATAGATAGGCATCAACTAGCCTTTTCCTAGCCAGCCCTATTCTTAGGAGTATCACATATCTTCAGACTCATTATCCTGCCCAAAATATAAGACATCAAAACTGAATGAACCCACCCAAAAAAATCCTGTTTAGAAGATTTAAAGCTCCAAAAAAAAATCCTCAACCGATGTAAAAAGAGGTGGAAATGGCGATAAAGAAGCTTAACAATTCACAAAAAAAACTTCACTAATGTTACATTTATGGAACAATGGCAGTAATCTCGGAGGTAAAATTAATCTCTTACTGTCTCCATGTATATTTTTCACTTCTTTTTGCTGGATTTTCTTAAAAACTCTGTCAATATAAACTGCTTTTAACTATTTATGGACAAAACAAAGTTTTTCTCAAGAGATTCACATGAATTTAGTTGTGAAATGGACATGGATGGTCGATTGAAGATGAGGGACTTACTCGATTTGTAAATAATCTATGGACGAAGCATTGAAAGTTTTGTTCATTGTATTTGAATTTATTGTTGTTTTGAGACTTTTACTTGGTATTTGTTAATCTATTCGTTGTCATTATTGAAGGATATCGGAACTCAAAAGCTAATCGTGCAATTGCTTGAATCCTTGTCATTATCAACAACATTCAAAATGTAATGATTGAAGAGATCAATCTCTAGTGGGAATCGAACCCTTATTCTTACTGTGTAAAATATAATAAAGGTCAAGTTCTAGAGGAATCGAACCAACGACCGCAAAAGAGGCGACCTCATTAAACTTGATCAGAGATCCCTGCCACTCTGCTACCGAGGTACTTATCTCATTTCAGCTATCCGTCATATAATATAACCAGTCTTAACGCGAGCTTTATTTTTAGGCCTATCTACTCCAGATATGCTTTTTGAGCCATATCCATACTTACATTGAATTTTTAAACCAATTTTATATCTGTTGCCTAGCTGCTAATCCACCAAGGCTATATTCTTGCAATAGCATATTCTTCTATATAGGTCGATACTCCAAAATCGACCAAAGACAAACTTCTACAGATTCAACCATACTCATTTTTCAAGTAATGAAAAAACATTCCTTTTATCGTCTAAAAATAACAAAACAATGAATCGAGATAAAAGAAAATAATTCTTCACGAACAAAACAAGAATACAGGACAAAAACTTTCACTTGCTCAAAATGTTGATGTTAAAAAAAGAAAAATGATTTCCTTACGGTCTTAAAATTTCACTTTTCATTAAGAATCATCTCCGAAAAATAAAGAGCATGAATAAAAATCCCTTAACCAAAAAAGAAGGAACGTGATGCTTTATGTGCATGTCAAAAATTATTTAATGAACCCACATCATATGTTTAAAATCGGTAAACCTCTAACCCAGCAGAAAATGTTAAAAATCTTCCTTTTTATAGTGTACTTTCATTTATAGACGTAAGCTTCTGGTAAATGTGCTGTGTTAGAGATAAATGTAGAAGAAATTGTCTTTTTTGCATGCTTTTATGAATATTCTGTAGTTTGGTAGTTAATATGTAGATGTGAGTGGAAAAATGATAACAAAAGTTGTAAATTGGCGAGTCTTTGTAGTTTATAACAGAGTTGGTGGTCGTTAAAGGACGAAATTTTGTAAATTTTGGTCAGAATGGCACTGCATCTAAGACTACTATTAAGACTCTACCCCAATATCGAAATATCGATGGACTTCATTCGAAGGTTCCGGATAACTCTAGAATCCAGCCACAGAAAGACCAGAAATAGATTAATAATGTGACAAGTCACTCTTCTTCCAAGGGGGAAGTTTTGACAAGGAATTTACTGCCAATTTTCTACCATCACATCTGAATCTTCATTAAAATGATTGTGGAAAAAAAATTCAAAACTTATCCTCATTATATTGTTTTCCCCCTCAAACCACCAACTCTGCCGCACATCATTAAGACAACTTGCATTAACCACAACACAAAAAATAAAATTTGTATCTTTTATTCTCACCTTAATCCCGGCACGGAATTTACAATAGATCCATCCTTTGTGTGCCATGTAATCATAGGTATGGGATTTCCATGAGCCAAACACGTAATATGTACACCTGTGTTGTTACTAAAGCTAACATGTGACGGTGGCTCCTGTACAAAGGATGGCATTTGAATGGCATTGTGTCGTGAATGTTCGCTAATAAGAATCGATGCTAAACATATCTCATAAAATCCTGTGGATGACAAAAAAAAGGAAATTGGATTAATATTCATGAAAATGTGTCATAAAGTTCTGTCGCGGATAAGCAGAAATTTGATGTATTTCGAGTTGAATGCCGCAGAAGAATGGTAAGTGGAACCGAACTATTAATTACTATAATTACGCAAAAAGCCTTTTAATCATTTTAATTAATTTATTAAGGGTTCTCTTATTAGCATAATTCATATTTTTTCGTGAATTGTTCAAGAAGGCTTAAAACTCAATGAATTTCAGCAATGGAATTTAGTTTGAAGGATTGGTTTTTAATCGGATTTGATATTGAGGTTGTTGCTGGAGATTCATAAAATTTATTTGAATTTTAATTGTAAATAAGCACGACTTAAAGAATAGTTTATGCGAGGCTAGCATGTACCTGATCTCAAGTGTCGCAAAAGAGACAAAGGTTGCAAGATGATATCTATAAGCTTAGTATGGCTTTAAATTGATGCCATATTAGAGAATGAAATTTGGATGACCATTAAAATTTATCTGACACTAGGTTTGCACCTAGGTGTGTAGCTGTAACTCTAATGCAGAAGTGGCCAACCTTTTTTGAGACGCAACACATATTGGTTCTTGAAATATTTTTGCTGCAAACTTTTGGATAATCAAACTCATATAGTGTAAATATTAAAAGCACAATGCATGGTTTTAGGAACACAATTGGAGTCGCAAAGCAAAGTTTGAGGAGAACTGATCTGGTGTGAAGTTGGTCGTTAATTTTTGGACCCTATGAATCAAAAAAAAATAATTGAACTAGAAATTCCTGAAACTTTTCTGGTGTCTATTCAGTAAATCCTATTAAACCTCATATTTTAAGCCTCAAAGAACTAAGAGATTCCAGAAAATTTCTCCAAATAATAACGCCCAAATTAGCAAAGACAATTCGTCGAAATTCAATTCAATTAGGATTAAAATTTGTATTCAAAACAACCGCACACGTTTCTCATTACTCGCTATAATAACTGAACAGCAATAAGGCTTCTATGACAACGACTAAAATATTAATTACTCAATTATCTCTCAATTTTGGAATAAAAAAACTTAATTTTCGAAGAATTCACGTTCCCACAAAAAACCACATAATTTGCATAAAAAGTCCAGTGTTGAAATTGCACATCATCAGACATCATAATTTGTTCATCAAATGCTGCTGGCATGTATACAGAAAAAAGAATAACATAGACGAGAAAAAAAAATACTAAATAGGTTGGGTAAATGTTCACATATGTGTGCATAAACATTTTGAACGAGAAAATTAGTCGCATGAAATGATGATGGTGACATAAATACAAATACTGTGCATTTAAATAAGCTTTTTATTGTCAATTTCAATTTTATCGTCTCGATGGGATAAAGCGATGAAGATATGAAGCTGAAAAGTTGTTGGAGATATATTTGAAGTTGCTTTTCTTCCGTTTTTGATGAGTTTAGAGCTTGTTTTTATAATCCTAATACAGTCAGAGCCGTATAAAGACTAAAGACTCTTAAGGTTGTCCACTCTTGCCATGCCACTGGCTTTACTCAATCAAGGATATAGATTAACAGTCCTTATCATTTCAAATGTTGTCTTCTGAGTAGAAATTGTCATTAAGCTGCTTAAGACCATTATATTTAAAGTCAAGGTTTTTCGCTTCGACCTCGCAACATACTTACAGTACAAGAAAGAGCTCGAAGTCGATGAAATTTTGTATGGAGTCTAGTCGACTCTGCCATACAAAATCGATGAAAATCTCGAGTCGTCTTCAAGCTCTGGTTTAAGACCAGCTATTAGGTCAACCTCCAAACAGAGCTCACGAAAGTTCAAAATAACATTTCAAAACCTCTTTGAAACGCTGAAATAAATGAAAAATCTATCCTCAAATCCCTCAACTGACTGCTATAGACAGCATAACTGCTAACGAGTGCTGTTTACAAAAGAATAAAAATGCCAGAAATTGATACAGAAGATGCGAAACGATATGAAACGTACGAATGCCACAATGAATACACTCCTCATTCACTTTGTTAGTCGAGTGCTTCAAGCAAATCCTCATAACTCATTTTAAAAGAGTGAATAAAGATGAAAAGGAAATTAGATGGAAATTCAATGTCCGGAGCCGCAATGTGTTTGCATTAAACTCTTCAATATCTGTGTGTGTGTTATTTTTTCAGTTCATTTTCATTGAGTGGAAGTCAATTAATTTCGGATTAAATCGAGGAAAATATAAATTATCATTTAAACTCGTCAATTTCTGAATTTTTAATTTAATTTCTGTTAATGAGCTTTTAACATATTTATAGAAAAAATTATCTGCTAATGTGCTTATTGCCAATCATAATTCTATTATGAATTTTTCATTTTTCGGTATAAAAAGAATGGAAATTTTTAAATTTGACGAGCATTGTTTCTGAACTCAATTCAAGTATAACAAAGAATATTATTTTATAAAAAAAAAATGATTCGTAAAATTTGCATTATTGTAGGATTGTTGGTGGCTGTAAGTATCTTCAGTTTCCATGGTTTATAATTTTTAATGAGCTATCATTAAATAATCAAATTATTGCAAATTATTGTAATTGAGTTCTGTGGAATTGTCTGAAAAAGTTTACCTTAACAACCGATTTTATTGAAAATTTCATTTATTTCAAGTGCTATGGTCAGGACATAGCAATAGCATCAACTGCTGAAAATCCACCTCCACCACCTCAACTACCTCCTCTGCCTTCATTAACAAATGGCAACATCACTGAAGTTGAAGCGAAGAATTTTACAAGACCTGACGGTTTCCATGGTGGACCACATGGCAATCATACTGGCATAGGACCAAATCATAATCACACTGACATGGGACCACCAAAAAATTCATCAAACCTTAATCGTCCATTTCTACCACCACCAAATGGCCCATTACCAAATTCTGACATTCAAAGACCTCCACTTGGCAATGGATATGAAGATTCAGGTAAAAAATCAAGTAAAGTTCCAAAATCATCAAAGGCATCTAAAGCATCAAAAAGACCTAAATCTTCGAAAGGATCCAAATCATCAAAGAGAACTACTAAACCTGGCAAAAAAGAAAAAGCTGGTAAGAAAGATCCAACAACAGCTGTTGCTTCTTAAAATTGAATGATTTTTTGAAATAATCATGATTGATTTGCTGTGGAGTTTTTGTGAATGTTTTTGGGGTTGTCAACTAAGGGTTTTTGTTTGAATTCAGCTCAATGATATAGTTGGAGCACCCAACTAATTGCTATATCACTAAAAACTTAGTCCCAAAACTTTAATTCAATACAATTTATTTTAACAATTCAAAATCTACATCAAAAGCTCTATACCTAGTCTAAAGTCGATGATCTCATACCTGACTAAAATATGATCTTTAAAAATATCCCACAATTGTGCTTCTATAGCCAGCAACACTGAATTCAAACAAAACTTCTCAGAACAAAAAATCAACGACCTGCTCAATCACTCGTCGCAATCAATCAATCATGATTAACTTGATATATCTCTCGATAACGACTTGGCATGATCAACCGGAAAATACGTGCTCTTTACTTATTTTTATGATACTTTATTATGTTCACAAATTGAAAAAAAAATCGAGAAAAAAAATAAAATCAAAAAATTAAACTTTATCAAGCACAAAAAAGAGCTCATTTGTTTATGTGACCTAATTTTGCAGAGTTCATATTGGATGGTAATGAGGATATGACAATTATTATGTAATGCATTTAAATTGGATTGGAAAATTTTAAAATTAGTTGATTGGATGTCCTTTAATTCAGTTTGGAAATTGGATTATTATAATGAGGTGAATTGATAATGAATAATTAGTCAGGGTTATAGCTCTGGTGACCAGATTATTAAAGTGTCTTTCTAATGCTTGATTCTGTATACTATTAAGCTTGTTACTTTGTCTGTCTGTCATTTCGTCAGTCTGTATGTCTGTCTGTCAGCAGTTCAATCCATCGTTTAGTTCATTCGCTATCTGTTTCCATCCTTTAATAGAATAAAGTCTATCCTGAGAACTTGAAAACAATTCTGCAGACAGCATTCCAAAATTACCTCACAACAGCTACATCTTTTATATTCTTGAGTAAATAAACATCAAACTTTATTCCACAGAAAATTGAGCTATAATGTTAAGAAAGAAATCAAGAACCTTTTAAAACCTTGAAGTTTTTATCAACTATCGTACTCGATGTTATTTCTACTTTCAGCTCCATTCATACCTTCAGGTTCGTTATCGTACGACAAATAACAATGGAAAGAATGGAACAAAAAAAAAATTCTAGAAATGAAACGAGACAAGCAATTCGAGATTGTGCGAAAGCGTAAGACAAGATGCATGTTAAATATTTGATAAAGATTGTTTACATTCCAAGATTCTTTTCAGCTTCATTCTTATAGAATGCTTCATTTTGGGGGGGGGGGGGGCTGTGCTGTTGTTAAGTGAGGCTTATAAGGATGCTTTCTTGGATACATCTTAGCAATTCTTCGCAGTTTTGAGGTTTTTTTTTTTTTTTTTTTTTAATTCAATAATTCTATTTATTTTGTCTTCCTTTTTTTCCCACTCTCTCCTTTCAAGGAAAAAGCCCCCTAAAACAGTACTTAAACTGTTTGAAGAGGCATAAAAAACCTTTGAGAGAGTGAAGAATTACATTAAATATAAAAATTGAATAAAATTACAGTAAAATTAATGTTACAGCAAAAGAGATCAATGAAACATTAAGTTTCCTTTAAGATCCTCTTTGAAAGAATACCGAGTGTAGGCATTATAAAATTAACGTGCGAATAATATTTAAAACAAGCAAATTCAAATAAAAAATTTTAACGACCAAAAAATATTTGAAATGTTTTCCACCAGTTAAGCTGGACCTGGCAGAGGGGTTGTTCAGCTTTTGTATGTACGGGGAGGATTTGAGGTTTTGTAACAAGTTAAACAGACTCCAAACACAAGTTTTTGTGGCCTGTGTAAATACACGGGTCCAAGTGCGAATTTCGAGTACAATTTTCAATTTTTCTATATAAATGCTGTCCCAGGTAGTGGGTTAGCTTCCCCAATACCCATTCGGATGCTCCATAACTCCCAAATCATCCCCATCTTTTTCTTACAGCACAAATGCCATAATATTCGCAGATTTCTCAACGGTGCGCATTCAAAAAGGTATTTTAGTGTCTGAAAAATGTGGTAGACAATTAAGTACGCGTGCTGGATGCGATGTAAAGGCATTCAATGAATTTTTTTTTGTTCACTTCACATGAATAAAATATCAATTTTTCACCATCGAAGCACGAAAAACCTTTAAATATTTTTCTTTTTCCACCGTCCTTTTGTATACTTTCTGTGTTTTTCTACTCAGCTCAGTGACTCTTTTTTGTTGCTGTTGTTTTTCATACATCTCCTACACTCATTCAATGCTTCATTGCGGTAAATTTTGCTTTTTTGTTTTCTTCTACTTTTTTTTAATGCTCTTACAGCCTCTCATTCACTTTGTACTCATGCGACTTCAATTTTCCTTTCTTCTCACTTTTTTTTTGAATTATGTTTTCAATTATTTGAAGTACTTTCGCTCATAGAAACTGAAGTGGGATACTTACAAAGAGAAAATTTTGTGTTGAATAAAAGAATTTGTCAGGGGATATAACTAAGCTGTTTGTTAATGATTCTATGGATTTTATGGGGATCAAATTGAATTTTATTGGAAATTTTCTATACGAGAAGTTTGTGGCAATAGCTGAGGATCTTTAGTTCGGGATAGAATTTGGAAGCATTTATCTTCAAGTCAGTTTTTTGTGCCACTAAAACTAATCAACAAATTTCCTACACAAAGAAGTGCGTCAAAAGTTTTATACGACACCAAAATCCATACACTAAGGTGCAAAACTTTAAGTTTTCCACTGGCGACAAGCATCTTTGCTGCACCTCTATTATGACAGATTAATAAATGACATCCATTGACATGAGCTTGATATTTTGTTGGATCGAGACTTATTTCCAGACGAGGCTCATGATTTCGGTCGCAGTCTCAGCCTTGAGAATGAGTTTTTAAAAATAATAAATGACGTCTGTGCTAGACAACAACGGTGGCTAGACAATTTTTTTCAGCTTACGTTTGGTCACGAGAAACCTTCGAATTTTATCAAATAAAAATAAATTGAATAACAAAACATCAATTTATTTTCAATAATCAGCTTAAAATGTTCAATGTCACAGCTTCCATACCCCTACAATAAAATCCTATTGAGTGTCAAACAACTCATCGACATTTCACTTCACATGAATCATAAACAACAAAATGCGGCTTGTGTTGGAGTACCTTATTGTAAAAAACTTTCTTATAGCCGTATTGTTACTTTGTGTTTATTTACAATATGATAAAAGCAGAACTTTGTCTTTCTCCTCTACACTCATCATTTTTTAAAAGAGATTCCATCCATTTTTTTCTCATATTTTCTTCTTCTTCTGATTTATTGATGTCACTCGCTTGCACGATAAGAATAAAGGAAATGTATGTATAGAGAGTGAAGAATAGAGAGAGATTTACGGTAGAAGATATGAATAAAAGAGATTTAGAGATGGATTTTTTTATATGGAACTTAAAAGCGATCTAAAGGGATGAAGTCAGGATGGGAGGGTGGGGGGAAGTATTTTATATGCAAAATTGGACCTAAGTAGGATGTTCAATTAAAAATAAGACAATTCAAAACAATTGCTGTCAAGCAGGGGCGTAGACAGGAATTTAAAGGGGGGGGGGGGGAGATCACCCTAGCTACGCGCCTGCTGTCAAGGAGATTATGGAGATGCCCCCCCCCCCATCCCTTACCCTTTTAAGTTGCGTCAAGAAGAAGAATAAGATATAAAAATATGTGAAACAATTTTCGGAAGCAAACACCATAAAAACGTTTCTGTCTCTTCATGTGGATATTTTTCTGCATTAGATGATTACATTTGCTTCTTCTTGTCTGCTCTTTTGGAAAGAATTTTTGAAATGTAGATTTTATTTATGGAATGAAGTTTGAAGTTGAGGAAAGAAATGGAGAATTTTTTTTTGCAATTTTGTGATTTTTCTAGGTCAAGATTTAGGAAGTGATCTAATCACTATGAGTATTGAAGCTTAAAATCAGTTTTTGTCGTTTTATGCTATATTATTAATTATAATACGGATTTAAGGCAACCGCAGTGGATTAATAGCGATATAGATTAGAAATTAGGAACCTAGTTCCTATAAAACCGAGACAATAATCAAAGGTTCGAGTCTCAGAAGTGAAATATTTCAGGAATCGCTGTTAAGAATCATGAACAGTAGAATTAGGATTTTAAACAGTTACCCGAGCAGCACACAAGCGTCATATGACGGTCATATGACGGTCATATGACGATCGTCATGGTCACAAAGACGTCATGAATGACGATCATATGATCGTCATATGACGATAAGACGTTATCACGACGTCGTTTTGATTGTATTTACAACGCCATATGACCATCATTTGACAAAAAAATCATCATTCGACGATCATACGATAACGTCATATGACGATCGCATGATGATCTTTTGACGAGATTATGACGGAATAACGACGGCACGTTAACAGTTCAGTGACGATAAAAAATCATAAAATATGCTTAATATGGGCTGAAAAATAAAATATCTTAAAGAAATAGAACTGAGTGATTTAATTTTTATAATTTTTATATTTGTCATAGTAAAACATCATAACTACAATTTACCAACAAAAAAAATATTGGATTAAAGAATTTTCATTTTTACTACTATCCAATCTTTAGCAGGTTCCTTCATATCCTGGACAAGCTTTTGTTTATTGATGGCGTTCTTTGGGGGATATTGTGTAAACACGTCACAGTCTTCATCGAAAATCCAAGAACTTGGAACTATGAACAATCCATTCTTTAAGTCTGGTACCACAGAAAACTGGTGCGTTAACGAAACAATTAAGATTTTCATGAAAATTCTTTCAAAATTAAGTCTTTTAAAAACCAATAAAAAAGTAAAACTTGCAATAATTTTTTGGATTTACAAACCATTATGTTTGAACTGGTGTAATGCTGATGCCTTCAAATTTTTTCACAATTAAAACACTTTATAAATACACGTCTGTCTTTTTTAAATTTTCAATTGCAATTGAGGAAAAAAAATTTCTAGAAAATCGAAGGTAACTGAGATTTAAATGTTTAAAAGAAAAATGCTTGAAGTATTGAATAAAAAATTGGTCTCAGCAATCACAAAATTTTCACGTCATCGTCATTCATGACTTTCATATGATCGTCATATGATCGTCATATGATCGTTATAATATTTTAGAAAAAAAAAATCGTCATACAATCGTCATCGTCAGACGATGACGCTCATATGACGATCATTTGATCATCATCGTCAAATTGTGCCGCTCGGGTATAAGGTTCATTTGAAGTTCCATAGCAGGTTGTCAGCTTTTCTACAATCCGACTCTGAATTGTTTTTAATAATCTTGACTCTTATTTAATGATGATTTTCTATTCAAATCATTTCAAATTACATCAAAAACAATTTTATTTCATTCATCTTTTATTTCTTATTTTCTTCAT